AAACTACATTCAGTAAACTTGCAGGTAATTATGCTACATAAATCGTAAATAACAATAATCACGATAGCGGCGATAGCGCTCGTATATTCGCAAATAGACATAGTTAAATTGCATTTGTCTGTGCTATCGTAACGCTTAGCTATCTACCTTTGTACAGAAATTAATTTTAATGACTAGTATCTTGCTATGAACTGCAACAATTTGCAAAGATCATACCTAGCTCCATATTCGCAAGTAAATATTTCTTTTTTTTTTATTATTAATATAAATATAAATATTAATTATTAGTATTAATTTTATTAATACTTTATTATTTCTCTCTGAATATTGTAATAGTATTTAAGTATATTTAAGTATATGAATAATTACCTTCAGATTCAATCAAGGTTTGTTACAGTTAGAAAATGCTTTTGTTCACAACGCTATATAATTGATAGCGACATTTTGGTCAATTTTACCATCAATTACTCTCACTTAATAATGTAATAGTCATTCATATCAGCAACTTAAATTGTATCTATGAAATGAATTGTATATGATACATGATCGTTCCAGGTAATTACTTCTCCATTCACATGAATAATACTGAAGCATATAAATGACTGCATTTCAAATGTATTACTTATTTTTCTGCAACGAAAAGCTACCTCTCCATGGAAACACGCATTTCTGTAAATTAAATTGTTTTTTAATAATATTAATATTGTTGTAAACTTAATTGTTTAATTTATTATTTTTTAAATAAAATTTGTCACAGGTATACATATGTACGTGTGTATGTAAGTAATCCATTTTAAACAATATTAAATATAGATAATATTAAATCTCATAGGATCTCATACATGTAAGAACACAATCAACAGAAAGTAATGCCTTTAACGGTCTAGCTGAATCTCAAGTGCTCGTATAATTCCGTGTTATATATATTACGTACGTAGTTTTTTAAACTGCGCGCCGAAACAAATTTTTAATTAATTTTTAGAAACAATCAGTATTTATATCTGAAAATCTGTATGAACTTAATCAATTAAATTTATGTAAAATAAATCAACGGGAATAGCTCATATAGTCTGTAAAAGCTTAGTCAGAAATACTTAACATTTAAGGCCAGCGTAAAGTCTAAAATTAAATGTGAATGCTAGCGTTAACAGCTGGTGGTCTAAAAAGATTTTATGTATTTAAGTGCATCAAATAATTATATATTCTCAATCTAGTCATAAATTTTATAAATGGGTGTATCTATTTCCGAAACTCTAATTGTCGGCAATTTGCTCAAAAGATCGAACACGTTAAAATTGCGTTGATTTCACTTTTAATTGCATTTATCAATGGCATACATGCTATTATTACCATTTGCGACGAATCGTATTGGTCATTATCGTTATTGCAAGTGATAACTTGCGGAGACTCTTCGTTTCTACGAAGGATCTTCAGAGGTCTATATGTATTGTACGTCAACCATAAATAATCAGGTATTAAGCAAGTAATGATAATAAATATAGTAAGGAACCAGAACGAAAGCGACTGTAATAATTGTTGGAAGACCCCGTACATGTCGCCATCGTATTTTCTGAAAAGACGCAAGTGTAAGAAAGATTTTGTGATGAAGAATTTTGACTTATAAATATTACTTTTGATTCGCACGATTGTTTCAATTGTCGGGGGGAATCTTTAATTTTATATATTATACTTACATATTTAAACCTGAATAGCCAAAGGTAGTTACGAAAAATACTAATTCAGATAGCAGTACGCTTAAAACAAATGGGATTGTCCAATATAAACTGCGTAACAATATCTGAAATAACATTATCATCAACAACAAATAAATTGAAAAAATATTCAAATATTTATCAGTGATTTATCGAATTGTAATTAAATTATAATTAAATTGTCGAACTATTAAATTATATAAATAAATTTGGATGTAAATTTGTTATTAAAAACACAAAAATATACGAATTTGACCATTAAGTAGTATTTAAGTTATTGAATTTTATTCTTCTGTGTGCATTTGTCGAAGTAACTCGCTGTTTTACAATCTTACTCGAATACAAACCGCCTACGCATGTCGTACCTGTAGATTTGCTAGTAAAGTGACTATATGAAAAATGCAAGTGCTGTAAGTCCAATGATCAACTGGCGTATTATCGTACAGATACGTAGGATTGATACACGTCATAGCGAATACTGTAAAATACGTTATGCAGGCATGCCATAATCCTGAAAATAATGTGACGTAGTAAGATCTATCGTGTGAATTTTTTGTATAAATATTACAACTTATAAAATATAATATTTATTCTCTTAATAAAATAACGTAAAATATTAATATAGGCACACAAACCTAGGAACATCCATATTAAGAATTGATGTCTTGACATTAAATAATTGTTTCTATTTAGTTTATATAAGTATGGATGTTCCATAAGTTTCTTCGCATTGTAATTCTGCTCCAATAGGCCATACATCAATATTGGAAGCGATGTGAATACCAAGTTGAAACCCATTAAAAATATACCATCATAAAGTTCCTATAAAAATATATTTCGTATATAAATTATTTACCTATAAATCTATACGAATATAAGTTCTCTTATATAATTTTTATAAAAATAAGAATATGTTTTTTTCGGTTTCGATGTAATATTAAATGATTATGCAATAAAAAGTTTTAAAAAATATAAGAATTAAACAATAAACTTTTTTATTAATTTATGAAACTTCGACAGATAAATCCTTTATTTACATTAAAACGAATATATACGATATACAAAGAAAATAAATTCACTTACACGTTGCGAGAATAAGATCAACTTTTTCAACGTTCAATAGAGAAACAAAATGCGACGTTGTTCTTACCTGCGTAGAGAAACCATTATGTATGCCGAACAGCACCTGCGGCGTTATGAATACTATATTCTTGTAAAAGAAGAACTGCATCAAAATGCTGATGCGTAGATAATACCAGTGCCCGTGCACCAGCAATGCTTTCCTCAGATACTTGAACTTCGTGAAGGCGAAGTCGGCAGATATCGACGCCTGGCGACCCTCTTTTCCTAATATTCCGATACCCACGTGCGCTTCCTGTATCATCGAGACGTCGTTACCGCCGTCGCCGATAGCCGCTGTGTGCGGACAATTTCGTGCCATTTTTATTAGATGTACAATCTACAGAGATAAAAGCTATATTTAACATTCTTAATGACTTTCTTGAGCTTCTATACGAAGCATTTGGGAATTGAAAAAAGTTCAAACCTCGCTTTTTTGCAGGGGCGTCAATCTGCAACAGACAACCGCCTCGCAGGCCATTCCGACGGATCTAAATAATTCTGGGTAATTTCGTAATGTCGTTGCCACGCTGACACCGTCAATTATTAATCCGTACTGCTTATACGGCTCCAGTTTTATTTTCCGTCTGGAAGATATATTATGTGCAGGGCTAATATATTTTTTAAATTATATATATTATATAGAGTTGGCTCTAAAAAATTTTGATTTAATACCCATGCGATGTCTATATAATTCTTACTATATTGGTGTTAAATTAACGCCAGCATGGTGTGAATTTAAAACCTCTGGCGTTTATATCAATACCATCAATAGTGTGTAGATTTAAGACCATGGTGTTAAATCCATACTATGTTGATGTTAATTTAATACCAACACAGAGAATTATATATAGCACCACATGTTAAGTTCACACTGTTATTTTTTAGAGCGTATGTTTTAAAATACACTGTTACAATAAATCTATAGTGCCAAATTTAATCTAATATGAGTCACAGTTCAATTATATTTTATATTAAAACGTTATTTTATATTAAAACAATGATTATATTTGACATTGTACACGGTTAACTATATAGTGTTAAATTGATATTGTGTGTAGTATCAAATATATACTTACTATAGATTTAATACAACGTGTATATAATATACATATATGTAGTATATAGTATATCATAAGTGTCCTTTAAGAAGTTCTTTATCTTCTAGATATGTACGTGCATGAATTATATATTTAAAAAAAAAACCATTTTGTTTATCGAACCAAATATTTTTTTCTTTTTAATAAATATTATTTTCATTTAAAAAAAACCATTTTGTTTATCGAACCAAATATTTTTCTCTTTTTAATAAATATTCTTTTTATTTAAAAAAAACCGTTTTGTTTATCGAGCCAAATATTTTTTTCTTTTTAATAAATATTTTTTTCATTAAAAAAAATTTTTTGATCAAACATATCATTTTTTTATTTTTGATCATTTACATTTTTTATCATTTTTTATCATTTAGAAAATTATTTTTTTTTAAAATAGAATCTTTCAGTTTCTGAACATGGCCGGAGACACTACCGCGTTTCCTGATTCATACAAAAACATCTATAATGTATGTGTTACGTTACGTTAAATACTGATTCAATATTTAACAGTAATGTTAAACATTGGGTTATGATTTTTTTTGATGTATGTTTACACTTGCTATTATACCATATACAGGCTTTAACTTACGATTCAGTATTTGAGGTAATGTTACGACAGTTTTTGTGCGGAAAGCTCAAAGCGATTTATGTATACACGAATATATATTAGAAAACTAAAAATTATGTATTTTCATTTATATACTTATTACTTTGATATATTACTGTGCGAGAAATAGTCAGGATAACTTATCGATAATTATTGAAAATAGAAAATATTTCGAATTTACAAACTGCACTTACTCGAAACTTGTGAGAATCAGCAAGCAGGCCTGCCCTGAGGACTCGTCCATTAATCTTAGAACCTCGGTACCCTTCTTGAAATGACCACACAGAAAAGCGATGTTCTCTGCAGTTTCTGCTTTATCTCCAGTTAACACCCATATCTAAAAAGATATATTTACGATTATATATATCTTTTAAAACTAAATTCAATTAACGATATCAATTCTTGATTCGTAATTCAATTAATCCAATTTATCAGGATTGCTTTTAATATTTTTAATATAATTGTATAACAAATCACTAATAATAGATAAAAATAAATAAGTAATATTATATAAAAACAAATATGAAAAATAATATGCAAAGACATGTATTAAATTAAAATATTGTGTTTGGAAAGTTAAACAATTTAGAGTATAATTTTGAAAGTCGATAAATGATTAATAAAACAGGAACAAAGGTATGCAATGCGGATAATGAAAGATTTCTTTGGCAGTCCGCACAAAGGCGGTGCAATGAACTAACTTTGATGCCAGCGACTCGTAAACATTCCAAGGTCTCTTGCACTTTGTCCTGCAGGCGATCCTCCACCGCAGTTACTCCGAGCAAGGTGAGCCCGTTCTCCATAAGATTGTACGCCCGCGTCATACGCGTTTCTCTCTCCGCACCAATTATCTGTCTGGCCTGTTCAATGTTATGTATCAGGTTTTCGTATTCAGATTGGTTCATCTTTTTGTACGCCACGACCAACGTTCGCAGACCCCTCTAAAAATTATAAAGTAATTGCATTAATTTCTGCGATACAATTGCAGTGACAAGAAACAAACAGGTATCAAAATTGCTTAAAATTCTTCGCTTTAGCTTTAGTTCTGTGGTTATCGTAAACGGGATAACGCACCATAGAAAAATCAGCGACGTGAGCGTTGGTCTTTCGTGTTTTTCCTTTAGTTATCAACGGCATAACAGCCGAATCAGCGCCCTTACAGTACAGCCAGATATCTCCTGCTGTATCTTTCACTATTACTGACATTCTCTTTCGTTCTATTCAAAGTAACGTTATATTAGCGTGATTTATTGCTATTAAAACTATTTTTTATCTATAACATCAATTACTATTTCATATTAATTAGAAATTTCAACCCAGTAAACAAGAAACGCACACATTTTGGAACATTTCAGTAATATTGTAGCAACGTTATATGTGTGGCAAGTTGTTGAAATGTTCCAAAATGTTTCTTGCTTATTGGGAAAATTTATTTCGACATTCACGGACCAGAATTGAATTCCAGTATTTCTAGCTTCTCGAAGGTCAGGTTACTCTCGTTGGTCTTGATGTGCATTTCCTCGTTAGTATTCGTTTGTAAAATAACGCCGCATCTGGCACTCGCCTCCACCAATGCCTTTTCGTCTGCCGACGCCGCCTGCAATATGCCACACGTGTTTGTCTACCTTTTTACATAGATCTAATATCATCGCGTTTGTTTACACTTCATCTTAGACGGGAGTTATTAGTAGGATCTTGCGACACCTTACCATAAATTTGGCATTCGCGTATGCGAGATATTATTTTTACCTGATATTCCGGCAGATCCGGATGCATCATCAACGAACTGTTGACCCTCGTGACTTTCTTCAATCTGAAGCTCTCGCGGAACAGAGTACGTCTGGCTATGATCTCGGAACGTAAGCTCGGCGGCGCGATTTGGACCATGTGGCATAACGATATGCTTATCATAAAATGCCAAATGCCACTCTATATATAAAATTGTGGATTTTTTAATAATATACCAAATTAAAGCGCGTAAATTTTAGTGTTGTTAAAAAGTATTTAATAATATTTTTTTTGATAATACTGAAATTATTGCTCTCGGTAAATACAATACTATTAGTTATGTACGTTTATAATACTACACAACCGTTATTGATCACTATTACTTTATTATTAATTATAATTAGCATAAATTATCACCAATAATTCAGTACTCGTAAATAATTGCCGCCAAATGTTTGAGCGGTAATTAATTACTCTTGCATCAAATTGTATGGCACATATTGACCGGTATCTTTTACATGATCTTTAAGTACAACATATAAATTATTCATTATTCTTTTAACTGAAATAATATCATTACTTTTTTTGAGGAGTAACAATTTCTTTAACAATAATCAGCATTTTCTCTTCCTTTTTACCTCCCACGATGACAGTTTCGTGGCCTCTGCCTCGTTTCCGCTTGGTGGCAATAAGTAAAGATTTCCATCACAATCTTTTTCCATATACACTTTATCGCCAATTGAGCAACGTCTGAACACCATCAAATTTTCAGTGAGCGTGCCGGTCTTGTCAGTAAATAGATATTCAACTTGACCAAGCTCTTCGTTCAAATCTGACGAATTAGTGAGCGCCGGCTGATCATTATCTTTGTCATACATATCCAAGTCCCAACCGAAAAAGAAGGAGCCAAGAAACTTTTGCAATTCTGTTGAAAAGCACGTAAATCTTCATTAATATTGTAATACATTATTTTTTACGAACGCATTTTGTGCTCTTTAAAACTTTCAGCTGAATCTTATTTTGAAGAGTGAAATCTCACTCCTAAAGATTGAAAACTGAGACATTCTTTCTCAAGTTTGGCTCAAGTTTCAGTCTTTAAAATGAGATAACATTCTAAAGAATTTAGAGAGTAAATGTATATATTTTTGCATAAACGCAGAGTAGTCCCGAAGAAATATTTTAAATAATTTTAAATTTTTTTATGAATAATTTTAAGTTGAATAAAAATATTATGAATAATCTTAACTTTTTTTCTTTAAAAAAGAAATTGCGCAAGTAGTAATATCTTACCAACGGTGACGTACAATGATATCGGCACGATGTAATTAAATAAGACAAGGAAGCTCAAAATATCCGTAATTAATGTGAAAAAATTAATCTTGGGTAGTGGACCTAGATACCTTTCCCATACTTGTTGAGTTTCGACGTATAGCTTCAGAATGGTACATATCACCACTTCAGCCAACAGTATCACGACATATACAATGAGATACTTATTGATAGATCTACGAATGATAACGGATAAATGTAAAGTTGAACTGTAGATTATCTTTAGATAATCTTATTTTTTTAAACTATTTGCGACGTTTGCATCATAAATATAGCAAAAAATTCGAGCAGAAGACATACGTAGAGAGAATAATTTTATTGAGGTATCGGAAAATTTAGCTAGATACAGATCCGAAAATAATTTTGTAAGATCAAAATTTTTAGGTAGGACACTCAAACCGATTGCTAGAATGTCAAAATTTTTTGATACCTCAGTAAAATCGTTCTCTCTGTGTAGAAATTAATACAAATAATAAATGTCGATAAATATGTCTTACGAAATAATATAATATTACAAATAAAGCTCGTAATTACTTCTCGGCAGTGGAGAATTTATTGCTGACTATCTTTGAGTTGAGCGACAATTTTGTGTCCTGCCCGGTGTAAATCGCGCAGCCGACCACATACTCGGTGTCTTTCAGTCTAGATCCACGTAGCATGAGATTATCTATTGTTAAATGCCCGCTGGTCGTTTCGTCGTCATCATTAATCTCGAGTTTGCCGTGGAAACTGTAAAGATTGGGCAAGGGTTGCTGACACGTAATTGTCACTTGCATCGCCACTATACGCGTAAGCGGCATTGCTGAGACTATTTTCGGCACCTGTAACGTCTAAAATTACACATTTATATAATAATTACAGCAAAGAGATTGTGACGAAAAATATCTCTAGAAATATAAAAAATTTTCATTTCCTGTCGCGTAAAGCTTTGCCTGTAAAAAATCCTGTTTTAAAAAAGTCTATGTAAAGATAACTACTTTTAAGTTTGTTTCGCCATCAAGATTGGATGTTGTGACGTAACAGCAACCCGGAGTCTCGCTATAAAGGAGGACGATATCACAAGGTACATCCTCATCTCGAGAGACTTTTACAAGATCGCCGACTACTATTTGTTCGCAATATATCTCCTGAAACGTATCATATATTATTTATGAATGAAAAATAAGTACTTACAATTAGTCTGATAACTCCAGATTATCAGAAGAAATTATCTTTACTTTAATCCCTAAATCAGAGACGGCATTGAAAAATTTTGTAACAGACACGTAAATATAAGTATACATATTTTGTAAATATACATTAAAAATCTTATTACAGTAGATATAAAAATACTACAAATTTACATTTAGTTTCTATTTCATTACTATAAGCATGAAATTTTTCAGTTAGGGTATCATAATTAGTGCAGGCACAACACGTGTGACGAACCTGTCTACATTTGTTACGGATGACACTGACTGATCTCCGATTATCTCGTTTATCTATTTTGTAGCGTAGGTAATCTTCGTATCCCTGTTTACACGCTGTCACTAAAATGACAAACGACAGAGGCAAGGCACTGGTTAACGGCGAAATTGACGAGTGTATTGAAACCGCAATTATCGTCATGAGTAGAAAATAAAAATTTGCTATTCGCCGAAATTGCTCGAAGAAATTCTTTGGAATGAAGTTCCATATCGTATACTGCAGAAAGATTAGATAGATCAGATAAATGCGTATGTTATCGCCTGTATTTCTAACGAGAATTAAAATCCAATTAAAAATAATGACAGTCATTTCGAGATATCAGCTATATATTTGCTTATGTTTATTTGTGTTACAAGTGAACTATAAACTGAATTTTTTAATATTAAGCCTTTTAAGTTTCATAAAGATAATAGAAAATGAGATATACCTTGTGCGATATGATGCGATTGCTAACGAAATGTTTTTCTTGTGAATCGTTTCCGGAATTAACGTTTATAACTCTGTGATCGTTAAGTGCTGAAGATGTCGTACCCTGTAAATAAAAGCGTATATTTGCTTATAATTTAGATATAGTTATAAATTGAATTTGAGCAAGTTAAATTATTTGTTGCTCAATCTTGACGATGTCGAAATTGAACATTTCGTGAAATTTTCAGATACACGTGATAAATTTAAATATTAATCGAATACTTAATTTTAAATTATACATATAATACATTATTTTATTTTATTTAAAACTAACAAATATTAAATATTTTTTAATTAATGAAATAAAATATTGAATAGTTTTATTCAATTTTTTACAAATACTATTAATTTAATTTATTAAATTACATTAAATTATAGTGTATATTTCTCATCAAAAATTACGCAAAATTAATCATCTAGATAAAATTAAATATAATACATTTATTATGTTTTAATAAATACATTTTTTTAAATAATAAGATAATTTAAAAAATGTTTAAAATAATTTGAAGAAATGAGTTTAATTTTACGGAAATGAAATTTACATGTAAAACGTTTTTGAGGAATAAGTTTTCGAAGCAATAAAGACGTGAAATTTGTTTCAAGTCTCGCTCTGAGTTTTTACTTAAAACGAAGATCAATCACGAATCTAGCCATAACCTTAATGTAAAAATCGAAAGGTTAATCGGAAGTTCACACGATGACGTAAATCATAAATAATATCGTGCATACAATTATCCGTCCACTCGATCGAATTGCGAGATAGAATTTTCAAAATTTCTCGGTTCGACATACACATTTTCATTATTTCTCGCCCGTTCTAGCACTCGTTTGTGCAGCAGCGACAAATGGGGCGATGTATGCGAAAGCGCAATATTATCGGAACGCACAATCCATGTCGTGGTTACATCGACAATTTGTATACTATTTTTACTCCAGCTGGAAAAATCCTAAGAGTAGATCGATTACCGAGCAATTTCACAAAAATATCCCGGCACGTCGCAAACACGACGGCGACGGTGACAATGTTGATAGAAAGGATAACGTGCTTAACATGATCAATAACCAGTACTTGGATCACATGTACAAAGCGTGGCTCAAAGATCAAAAGTCCGTAAGTTCCTCGTGGGACTCATATTTTAAATTGATCCATGCGGAAAGTCCTAAGGACTCTTCCAAGTCCAGCCCGATACGCGTCAGTTCGTCTTCTAAGTTAATGCCACCCCACTTGTTAGAAGGAGGCAAGAGTGAGTTTTGATAAATTCCATATTACAATCACTTTCTTAGATTGATAGTGATATGACTCTAATAGTACAATTTATTAGAAAAATATTGGCTCAATATATTCCTAATGTTTAACTAACATATAGCATCAGTAAATTGTTCTATCAGAGGATTTAATATTAAAATCATAATATTGATTTTAATTTTAATTTATACAATTTAGAATGACAGTTATAAAAATTTAAAGTGATGATTTTATAATTATTTTGCATCACGTCTGATTGTGAGAAAAAAAGTTAACATAATAACTATATGTATATTATATGCATAATAATTATAAATGCATTCTGTGATTCAATGAGAAATAAAACTAATTATATTTATTTTTTTCGGATAAATGTCTAACAGGATCGTTTTTTCTGAAAGAGTCCGTTCGAGAAAAATCGGATAGTCAGATGCAGGGGGATCAATACATAATCGGTGCACTCGACATCAATGCCACGATCCGAGCCTATCAAGTACCTATTTTTTCTGTGAAACTCTTGCACTTTCTTGTACCCCCATGTATCCATGTTTACTGCTCTTATTCGTTCAAAGGCACGTGGTCATTTGATAGCTGACACCGATCCATTAGGAATACAGAATCCAGAGTCAGCGAAGCTGCAGGGTACCGCGAACCTGCCGCCCGCGATCGTAGTGCGACAGCATCTCAAGGGAATGACAGAGGCGGATATGAACAGAGAATTCCCTCTCGCGTCCTTGACCGTTATTGGAGGCGACAAGAGGAGCTTATCACTGCGGGAAATACTGACGAGGCTCAACAAGATTTATTGTGGTCATCTAGGTCTCGAATACACGTACATTCATGATCTCAATATGGTATGTACGACACGATTTCAATTAAGAGGAACGATGAATATTTCATCAGAAGCGTTCACGCTTCACCGCTACACGAAGAGAACGGTTTTGCTGAAGTATCTAAAAATTTAGAGGGGTACAGATCTGAAAATAATTTTCTTGAATCATTAAAATAGTTATGTGAGAAGCTCAAGCATAATGAACAATGCTGTAAAAGTTTTTACGTTTTAGTAACCAGTTTGAGCGTGAAAGAAAAGATTGAGTATTACAGCAAATTATAGATGATAAAATGTGTTATAACATTTTTCATTGGCTGCTGCAGCAAATTTTAAATATTTTAAAAAAATCGTTTTGTGTGTACAGTTAGTATTTGCAGAATAATAGCTTATAGTATTAAATAATAGTATTCTTGAAATTGCACTTGAATGTATGATATCTTGCGCATGTTGTGCAAATGTTTATTGATAGATTAGATTACACAAAACTGTTGTTTTATACAGTTGTTTTATATTGATTACAGGATATATGTTAGATAAAGTACTTGCTTGAAATCAGATTTTAATTTAGTAGTATTTAATATAAAGATAGTTAGAAACAAAGAAATAGAAAGATGTTTATTGATATTGATTTTAAAGAAAGAATCATTACGTCATACAAAGTACAAAAAGCGAAAGTGCGCATTTGCGAAGATTTCAACTAATCTAGGAATGCTTTTATGTCTGTATTAGAGAACGTATTCAAAGGTTATTAAAGCAATTTTCATAGAAAAGATATGTAGAATTATCATTCATGCGTTTTATCAGTTAGATTGGTTGAGAGAAAAATTTGAGATACCTGGCGCTTGGAAATTGCCTGCAGAGCACCGAAAGTGGACCTGGATGAATATCATGAGGGCCGTAAGTTTCGAGAACTTTTTAGCAAAAAAATACGGAACGGAGAAGAGATTCGGGTTAGAGGGTTGCGAATCGTTTATACCATCCATGGCGGAATGCATGGAAACGTCGGCGCTAAAAGGTAACTAAATTAATTCTCAAATCTCGGGTATCAGTTTAAGCAAAGTTTTAAAACGATTTCTGAGTTTTCTCTAGGCGTCCGATGGTATCTTTAATTTTATTTCTATTTTATCCTATTCATCAGGAGTCGAAACTGTAGTTATCGGTATGGCGCATCGCGGTCGTTTAAATACTTTGGCAAATATTTGCTTGAAACCGATGAGCCAATTGTTCACTCAGTTCAATCCGATCGCTCTGGAAGGATTCGGTTCTGGTGACGTGAAGTATCACCTCGGGACGCACTCGGAAAGGCTACTAGAAAGGTGCAGAAAACCATCACAATACAAAATCAGTTTTAATATGCGAAGCATCGATATCTAAACTTGTATTCCAAGTTGCAAAGAGATGTAGAAGATCTTAATATTTATCATATTTGATTTACTGATGATTTTTGTAGAACCAAGAAGAAAATGCTTGTTGCTATAATGGCGAATTCTTCGCATCTTGAAGCAATCGATCCGGTCATAGTCGGTCGTGTTCGTGCCGAACAAGTCGAGAAAGGTGACTCTGAATGTATGTATCGAAGATATGTATATATAATTGCTTAATGGACGATAATAGACTTCTTTTAAATAAACCGATTCCTTCAGACGGCAAAAGATCATTGGCTATATTGGTTCACGGTGATGCCGCTTTTGCTGGTCAAGGTGTCGTTTATGAAACAATGCATCTCACCAATTTACCAGAGTACACAACGGGTGGCGTCATGCACATCGTAATTAACAATCAAGTAGGGACAACAGTTTCTCTATGACGATGTTTTCCCGAATCTTTCAAAATTAGTTAACTGAATAGATTTTAATTAAAATTTAATTACCTAAAAGCTTTTTTAAAAAGAATTCACATAAAACAAAATCGAAGTTAATATTTAAGTAAAATCAGTCTTGGGTGTATTAATTAATATAAATATATATTTTGTATATATTTACTTTTGTTAATATTAAGTTATTAGATGCTAAATAATTGATAAAATGTTAAACAAGACATTAAATAATTGTAAAGTGTTAACAAATGGGGATAAATTATTTTAAATGTTTGTTAATAATTCTAGATTGGTTTTACAACCGATCCAAGGTATTCACGATCCAGTGCACATTGCACGGATGTTGCACGTGTTGTTAACGCTCCTATTTTTCACATACATGCTGATGATCCTGATTTAGTAACTTACTGCAGCAAGGTAGCCAGCGAATATCGGTAAATTACAATACTATTCATTTTTCAACCTTATTGTATTACTTCAAATCGAAAGTTCTGTTTTAGCTGTTATTTATATCTTTTAATGCTTTAATCTTATATGCAAGTATTTTACTTATTTAAAGAATAAAAGATTATAAATATAAATGCTAAATAAATTAATATAAAATTTTTTTTAAATAATATATTTTGCGATTAAACACCTTATGAATATAAAATAACATTTTATAAATTCCTTTTAAAAAATTTTGTTTAGAAGAAAGAATTACACCTAAATTATGCAAATAATTAGTTTCTACAGTAAAAGCTGAAAATTATTTACAATAAAATGTCAAATTTATAAGAATATATTATAAT